AAACTTCGTAGGGTTTTGAAACTCTCGGAACTTTGGATACTTGAAACTTACGAAGCTTGAAATGCTGATTCCGTTTTATAAAAGGAACATCTTGTTTTATTTGTTTTACGACCGTACTGGTACTTTGTACATACTGCCCTCCAACGATGTTTGGTAACTTGCCATAAACGTTGACGCCTAGATTTCGACCGCTTTTGTTATTTGTTGATTCGCATAAACGAAGATCGCGAATGAAATAGAATACGATAAAGTGAGATTAAAATTAGAAGATGATGGTCATATTTATTCCCTATCATTGTATCTCATTTTGTCGTATTCTGTTTCATTTGCGATCTTCGTTGCTTCTCTTCGAGCACAGTTTGACAAAGTTAGAGAATGAGTATAATGAGAAGAAGCAAGATAGACACAGTCCGTCGAGCATCGAGGGTTGAGACGCGAGTCTTAAAAGTAATGCTGTATACGACAAATATAAACATGTAATAAAGGAAATATCAATTTCGTTAATTTCCATCTTATTTTCTCAAACTATTATTTTCTTAAACTAGTATTATTGAGATTGTTGTAACTAAAATAAATCCAAACACGATGTACAGTGCGTTATTGACGTGGGCCAAGCCAGGCTGTGGTTTAAAAGTGAAGAGGGGCAATGGGAGGCGTCCAACACGTCACTCAGCCCGATAGTAATGGCGGAATTAGTTTCGGCACGTCTTTCTTACTGGCCGAGCCGCGAGGTGAGGTGAAGCGCGCGGCCGAGTCCCCTTGCCCCTCTTCACTTTTGAGCCGTTGACGGGTTTAACTCACGTGAGTAACGTACTGTAAATAGGACTAGTTTTAATCGAACAATATAAAAATTGATATAAAGTTAAATGAACGAAAGGTATTGGAAATTGGTGATTAAATAATGAAACAGCATATATTTTACAATGTGACTTTATTATAACGGCTTTGAAAAACACGTCCAGCTCTTTCAAGTTCTTGGATGTGAATAACTCGGAACACCTAAAAGTAAGTTGGGGTCCACTTTTCTTTACAAGACCGTTTATGGCCTTGCCTGTAGAAAAGTCTCTTGACATCGCGTGACAAAATCCACATACATCTGGTTGCCTTTCTATCGCCTTTGTTTAGACTAAAGATATATGAACGTTGGCTATTTTTGCTTTTGCTAGCTTAGCATTAGTAATAATTCAACAAATGAAAACGGAGAATTTTTAATCACTTTTCAAAACCGGTCAAATGACCGGTCGCGGTACGATTAGTGCTAAAAAATGTTGATGAACCATGACAAAATGCAAAGGAAAATATAATAATATTCAGAAATAGCTGATTTAGATTTTTGTTCGAGAATATTAAGCGTGGTTATTTTTAATATAGATTTTGTAGTGTTAGAAAATAACGTAAACATATATTGTATATTTTATGTTGACATATTTGTTTTGTATAAAAAAACACAATTTTATAATATGTGTGTGCAACAACTGAGCAATCAATGAATAAAACGACAGTTGTTTCTAATAAAGTATATATCGATTGTGTTGCTATGCTATTTATATTGATATTAATTAATTCTATCATAATATTAATTTGTGATATATTGGATGTGATCTTTTAACGTAGCAAACATTATTCTTATGTGTATTTATATTAATATTAACATTTACGCTCAGATTTATTCTTTATTTATTGGTTTTATGTACTTTTCCAGCTGAATGTACAATTATAAAAAAAGAGTGATAAAAACACGATGACTAACCAACTGAGGATATTTGTGTATTTACATGTTTCTGCAGCCAGTAAATCGTGTTGAAATAACGTTATTAGAAATATTTAATAAAAGTTGTAGTTTACTTTGAGCCTAATGAAAGCTTTTAATGCAGAAGCTACAGCTATGCTCAATTTTCGAGCATTTTAAATTATTCTGTAAAAATGGAAATATGCATGTACGAACGTGAAAAATTGAATAATCCATCGCTCCGAGCCCTTAATCGGCGGTAACCTACTTAATGGCAGTTCATGAATTGAAAATGCGGAAACGAAATTTTTAATAATTACACATTAATTGAGTGAGAATATTAAGCCTTCGAAGGTACACGAGCAGAATTACGCTTATAAATTTTGAACTACAAATAACAAATTTCAGATATACGTATTTACGTACATTAATATATATTTTAATTCAGTGTAATAATACCGAACATCGTTACAATGAAAATTGGAAATATTCATAGTGCTTTGAACATGTACGATTCCAATGAAATTTTATAAATATCTGAATTAAAAGTACAATTATCCGAGTCGAAGAAGATTGCTGAACCAATATTATTATATATTATATATTGTTACATATTTTTGGATTAATTTTAAAATGTTTTAAATAGCTTATGTGTTTAAATCGGAGTTGTCGTAATAATATTACAAACATTGAAATAGTAATATCAAATGATAAATGAATATATCCCCCACATGTACACATTATTTTTATTATCGTATCATTATTATTACTATCATTTACTTTGCTAAACGTTTACAATGTTTATAAAGTAAATAAATATGTATCCAGATTGTTTATTTTTAAATTTCCACTTTCCAAGACCAAAATGATTCAAAACATCAATTACTGTAAGAACAATAGAATAAACTGTACAATAAATGTCTGCAAACCTAGTGACCATATATTGACCAGTGAGACTCGTAACGAAGATTTCTACATTAGTTTCAAAGTAGAATCAAAGTATAAAAGCTATGTTGCTGTTACTAATTTATTATCTTCAAATTAAATTTGCACGTAAGTGTAAATAAAGTGGAATAAAAAATTTCTTTACGTTTATTCCAAAATGTTGATAGTATAATATTATACGAGCTTAGCAAAACTAAATAATACGGCAAGAAGTTAATAATTGTATTGCATTTATCATACCCACCTATCATTAACGTCGAGAATAAACTTTTCTCATATTCTTAAACCATTATGCCATGCTACGTCAGTTTTTGTGGACTGTGCGGTGAATACACGAGAAAAGAAATCCGATCGAATGGTAACAGACAGCATTCATATACGATTCAGGTAACTTCTCATATGTAGCGAAAGAAAGAAGAGGGTCATAATAGAAATCTTTCATATCGAAGCTTCATCGATGGAAATGTGTACATATATGCGAACCGACAGCATTGTGCAGTTTGCCGGCAATGGAAGCGAAAATGCTTCCGACGTAAATCTAGTCTAATGCGGTTTTCTTAAGACAACCAGAAAATTTAGTAACGTGTTTTCCACGCGTACAGTTTTCGCGACATAAAAGCAATTGCTGGAGCATAAACCGTCGAATCAAACGTTTCGATAATTCCTGAAAATGATGCATGCTACGAAGATTGTATTCATTTACGATATTTTGAGTTGCAATAAAGTTTAACGTAAAATCAAACCTGAATCGGAAATTATTTGACTGAATACGTAAATGTCTTAACAAAGACAAATAATGTTTCAAGATTAGATTCAAGAATGTGATTGCCTTTGTTTATTTGTTTATTTAAAGACTGACATTATGTGTATGTGATAACGATGGTATTTATGTACAATTGTGATTGACGAGTATATTACAAAGTAATTATCGTTTGCTATTTAAATTGGAATTTTCTAAAAACAGAAATATATTTGTAAATGTCGATGTATTTAAAATATTTGGAAACCAAACTGAAATAAAACGAACAAATAGAAAAATATAAATAATTATTATGAACAAATTCTGTACAGTGAGAACAAAGTAGTTGTTTTCTTTACTTTCTGAATCTTTTGTTTTCTTATGGTAATTATTATTAAAGTCACCTCGAATTCATGTTCCATTTTAGCCTATGCTAATATTATAATATAATATCCAATTCAGACTATAAAATCAACACAAACTCGACCAACTAAACCAGACCCTACACGTCTAATCAGGAAACATTTTCCAAATTATATACTCAAAATATAATATATAAATATATAAATCAAAAAATAATCCTATACACAAATGTTTATATTGTTACAAAGATAATATTCGTAAAGAATCAAGATATTGGTGTTCGAATTGCGAAGTGCTGTTATGTATTGCATCTCGCTGTACGCAATATCATTCCACAACAGCAGATAAAATTCTAACTACATAATCACTTTCCTAAGTAACTGATTTTTCGTATTCTTTTTTCTTTCATACCCAGATTTCTTATGTTTAAGTAAGAAAAATAAATAAATAGTAATAACAAAATTATCAATTAAGAAAAAATGTAACAGTCATTTCATTACAATTTAACTCATTCCGAACGAAGATTTTTTAAACCTTTCAAAGCTTTCACCATAAAACGCTGTATTACTGGTTAATATTTTGAATTTTGGGAAAACCTAAGACTATGTACTAATCTTTTGTTATTTAAATACTTAAATTATTTATTTGCAACTTTCTAGATTAGATACGAAAAGCTGCTGTCGTCAATATGGCGACATTCGATCTCAAAGGGTTAATTCACCATTATAACAGCTACGCATGTTACTTATTTTGGCTATTATACTCGTTAAAAGACGATATAAATATCGTTTCATTTTTACGGCACAATTTAAGTTCACACGCAATAGTGTCTAAAATATGCTTAAATTTCTCAGATAAATTTATAATAAATTTAGAAGGTCAATTCGAGATATGTCTATTCCGAAAGTCTTGTATTATTATTCATACAACTAGTTTATTATTATACAGTAAGTCACTATGTATTATGTATTATTAAGTATTAATTAATGTATCCAAATGTTGGTGGTTACTAACGACTTTACTGTTAGTGTAACCACCTTAAAATAAACTCAAACACAAACAAAAATTTCAGTTTACACTTTCCATAGAAGTTACCATAACTAACCGATTAAGTAATTTCCTAATTTCAAAAACGACATTCGTGTATTACCGTTAGTACATCTTCCTTTCATAAAAAAGTTTGTGGTGATAAAAGATGGTATGGAGACCAGGTAAATAACTTACCACGTCAATGATCTGCTGCAGCGTGATGCCGAATTTCACCTCAAGAGGTTCGCTCTCGTTGGCGACAGGCCGCTCCAGGGTGTTGTACGTCGACAGCAGCTCATTTAATAAACGTTTCTCATGAGGTCCGCACAGGCTTTCTGCAACCAGCACAAATTATTCGCAATGTGAGTGAGAAGTTTCACGAAAGCTTTTTAAACACTACCTAGTCTCATAAAATTTCTGCTCTCATAAATTATTCCAGAGTACACATTATAAAAATTTTAACGTGGGTCATAAATGACCCAAAGTTACAGCTACGGCAGCAGAAACTTTGGGAGCTTAAAGATTAATAAAATTACTGAAAGAAATGAATATTCATGGTGGAAATACGATGCTGTACAATTCTTTTGTAACATTTTTCGTGCTACTGCGTTACGTTACATTGTTAAGAGAATGTACTACCACGTTGAAGTGGCTGTAATTACACTTAACACTTAAAGATTCATTTAGTAAAGTATTTTACTTGTGTTTCAAGATTGTTTTAAATTAAAAAATATTAGGTGATTTAAGATAAAGGATTATTTTTTAGAAACTAATAAATATCTGTTTTAGATTAATAGTAATCATTATTGTGAAGCAGCTCTAGTCGATTATGCTAATGACGCTTTTATATTACTTATCATTGACTTTATTAATTTCATTTATAATATTAACGTTTAATAGTGTGAAATTATATGAAAGCAGCTTTATATTATTAACGTTCTTGGAATATACTTGTTTTGTATACGTATATGCATATTATTGTACTATCCAATAGTTTGGTTGAATACGTGCATTCTGAATTGCATAGTAGTATTAAGTCTGTACTTATACTTCAGACCACCTGTGACTCGTAAAGAAAGGTATCGAACCTGGAAATTCAAAAAATTATGAAACTTTGTGTGTAAGTAAAGTTAGTCAAATTTAATACATTCCAATCTTTTTCTCGTGCCGAATTTCACTTTGAAGGGATGAAACTTTTTCAAAATTGCAATGTATTTAAATTATTTCATAATGTTTGGAATTTCCGGTTCCGATACCTTATCAATTACGTTTCCATTTCTTTCCGACACCATAACGTTCATTTACTCTTTGTCAATTTAGATATGGTCTCATTTCTTCAAAGATTCCTTTGAATTCGAGAAGAACTTAAATAAATCGTTACTAGTATACGTTTTCCTGCCTTTTTCGATGGAATTCGAAATATATAAATAAACTAAAAATTCCGTCCGTGTTATATTGCCATTGGTTTCTGAATAATAACTACCTAGCATTATAGATTCTGTCAATGAAATTATGAGAGCCAGTTCCATACGTGCATTAGTGTGATTAAAAATGGGTACAGTTTCAATTTGGCCGAGGCCGAATGTGCACTAGCTTAGCAGGTTTGCCAAGGGATTTCAGTGGCTTACTCCCTATCGTTGCTCTGTAATATATAGAATCTGCGTCCGCTACACAATCTACGATGCTCGCCATGGTTGAAGGAATTTCCGAACAAACTTCAACTGAAAGGAGGATTTCTCGTAGCAACGAAAGTTAATATAAAAGCCGTGTACAATTAATATTATTGGAAAGAAACTGCAAATTCGGAATATTTAAAGAAGATTGCAGCTAGCATTATTAAATATGAAGGTTAACGATATGATTTGATCCGTGATGATATTACATAGGCGATACAGCCCATTTTAATGATCGAATACGTAAAAATGATTCTACAACACAGATCGAAACATATTTAAGACGACTTTTATTAGCTAATTGTAAAAAGACTTGTTTTCCTCAGGTTTGGTATTATATACACTATTGTCCATTATTTTGTAATTATTTAGTAGTGAAATATTTCATTCAACTGAATCTCGTTTCAGGGTTTTATAGATAAATTTATTAATTAAATAATTTCCGTTAATTATTATTATCATCTCTATTATTAATCGCTGGTTTGATATGAATATACGACATATCTGCAGTGGCAGATATTCGATTGAAAAATTATATTTCAAATACATTTTGTATAATTCCCATAAATATATAAATGTATAGTGCTGGCATACGTATAGACTTTAGTGTAAATATTCATAATATAACTGTAAATCACTCCTCTCTCTTTTCATTAGATATCTCACATTTAACATTTAAAATCTAATAGTAAATCCCACCAATCCGCAGAAACCTTTCAAACACAACTATATCATAAAAATTCATATGAGATTATTATAACTTCACGTCAAAAACTAACTCATAAATGTTCATAATCCAACAATAACCAACTCTTCCACCCTTCCACTACTATAAGGTAAGTCGATGACAGATAGCCCACTTTTCTTAAAAGAACTCTTACATCATAAATATTATTAATACCTAACAAAAGGAAAATATATTTTATGAAACTAAATACATATAAGAAGAATAGATAACCCCTTGTCCTATGATTTCTTTCACAACGATGCTCGATAGAATTATTTTATAATAATTTAGTAGAAAAGTAATATGATTTAATACTTATTCTATGCCTACATCTGCTCTAAAGGTTAACGACTAATAATAGAAAAGTCATATTTAATTTCTATGAAAAATAAATAAATAACATTTAGGTTCGTTCAATTCATTTAAAAATGTTTATCCCGAGTCTGGCTCGATATTATAGGAGAAGGAGTTAAATTCAGTACACCACTAAGGACAATCGAAAATATAGATATTTGACAATATAAATGAAATCAGATCACCTGACCCGCAGAATCATCGTATCCAGAATTACTCTAAGTCACCACCCAGCAGAATTTCTCCAAGAAATGGTAACCAGAAGAAAGCGCACAATGTAAAATACGCACAGTCCATAACCCGCACATATATAAATTGTGCAATTGTAAAGCAAAAGCGTTGACGGAGAAAGAACTCTGCACATTGATTGAATTGTTGGACAAAAAAATACTTACTTATTGTTAAACAAATTATATATTGTTTTGCAGTATTTCTTAAATGCAACAGTTTCTGTACTTCAATTGTGCACATAGAACAGATTTGCTTCTACAAGATGGATCACGAAGATTGAACAGCTTAGATTAATCTGCTGCTAGCAGTTCGATCAGAAATTTTATTAACTAAAATAACATAATTCAAAGAGAGCCATAGACAATTGCCCCAGAGAGATTAAGTTGATAATGTCTAATACTAATCTATCAACAGCTCTAGAAAGTGTACACTAGCGTGGCTTGCTATTCCTCTTTAATAATCTTTAAGAATCTTGCAAAGTTCTTTCAGTCAAGAGTTTTCTTCAGTCTTTTTAGATTCAGAAAAAAATGTTTGTTATCATGCTTGTCGACATTTGTCGATAACTCTGGAGAAAAAGGTTTGAAAAAACTTTGGTACAATCATCTCAAAGCTCTCTATAAATCGTGTCATTTCAGCTAACAAAATTTACGATCGAACCCTATCAGCAGAATAATCTAAGCTGATCACGTTTCGCGGTTCACCCTGTATAATAAGGATTGGTACAGCCACCAGTGTGGCTGGCTTTTCCACGGGAAGGGAGTGCAACCCTCCCCCATCCACGCTTCTGCTTTACAATCGTACAATTTATATATGTACGGGTTATGCACTGTGCGAATTATACAACGTGCGATTCTTTTATGCACGCTTTTCGCTGTGAGCGATTTTTTACTGTGCGTTCTTATATATGTGTGCATTTTTCGTGTGCGTTTTTTTTCGCGTAACCCAAGAAACAAGTGCCCCCGATCCAGCTCGAACGCTGTCATCGAAACGTCAGTTAAGCTCACGGTTAACCCGATGCGCGTATGTTCATTCTGCCCGTAGGACATTGTGTTCCGGCAAGGCCGCCTTAAACAGCTTCAGAATCCGGGCACGGTGCCGCAACCGAATGCAAAATGCAACAGGATTGTGTCTGCCGGGAGAATAATGGGCGTAGCCGGGGCCGAATTCGGCGCACGTGCACCCATTGAAGACAGACCGAAATATTGTGGGCTTACGACAAATGCACTTGCTCGCGGAACCACTCTTTCTCTTACTACGCCCGACCAACACGGACACGATTCAATACGCCCTCGCACTTTTTGTTCGTACCGTCTTCCGTTCCTCTCTTCCCCCTTCGACCGCCCCTCCCCCGCTTCCCAAGTTTGTTCCGCGTTTTCTTTTTGTCCGTTTCAGCACATTCAGAGACCAGTCTCTGCCCCGTGCCGCGGCGTGCTCGGTTGATCGTGGCCATTGACGCAATGCTTTATAGAACCTGCTCATTTTTGTTGTCTTCCTCCGCTGGATATTCCATTCTCATCCGTAAATAAATGAATACAGGGTGAATCACCTGACTCGACCACGTCGGTTTAATTGTTCGGTCCAAGTCGGTTGTTACGTGAGATCTTTTGAAACGCTGCGTTGAACGCGGAGAAATGTAACGCAGAGATTAGATGGTTGGTTATTATTTTGATTCCCCTCGAGATAAGGTTTCTTTGAGATTATTTCAAGTTTGCTACCTTTGAAATTGCGATGTGATGTTGTTAGTAGATTGTGGGTTTTGTGTGTTTATAGTGTTTATATTCTTGTGATAACCGGTATAGTGAATTGTTTAAAACTATTTAATGGGATTTTGGTCTTCTTTGGATTATTTTTTGGATTATTATTATTATATATATACTTGCGTTTAGTATAATAAATAGATACAGGGAAAGTTGCCGTTGAGTTCACATTGGTATTCTAGAGTATCCGTTGCCACCAGTACCGATACCTTGAACCTTTCATACAAAATTCAACTGTTGGAATTTTTATCACATCAATCGCATCAGAAATGTTTCGCCTCGATACTTGTACTGTGATCATTGTATTTCCGTTTCTCGAAAGATTCATGAATTTACAGTTATCTAGATATACGCTTACCGTGTTAATGTTGTAACAAATTACATAATTTGATTCATTCGTAAAATCTTTTATATTGAACGTGACATATTGAAGTAAAGTAATGTTGGCTACATGTTTTATACAGTTCTATCAATACGTGAACTATATTATGTCTAATAACTTTTGAAATGTTTAATATGGTAGATCGAGGTGAAACGAATCATTTTATATTTGGCAGGCAAGAAATAAAAATACTTGAATATTACTGATAAAA